GCCTTTAACCGCTCAGCCAGCACTTGTGGAGAGTCACCTGCGATGAGAACATCATCAAAATAAGGACAAACACCAGGAATACCCCTCAGGGTGTTTTCCATCACACTTTGAAAAATGCCAGGAGCGACATTCACCCCAAACTGTAACCTCTTCACCCTGAAAGCTCCACGATGGGTGACAATAGTTTGGGCCTCAGCTGCAGCCTCATCAACAGGCAGCTGTTGATAAGCCTGAGCCAAATCAAGCTTAGCAAAAATTTTACCTTCCTTCAGGGAAGCTAAAATGTGGCTCACTACAGGCACAGGATAAGCATGTTGCTGTAAGGCCTTGTTTAGAGTGCATTTGTAGTCAGCACAAATCCGGATGTCCCCGTTTGCCTTTAAAGGCGTTACAATGGGGGTTTCCCACGGGCTGGAATCTACAGGCTCTAGAATGCCTTGCTGGAGCAACTTATCCAGCTCAGCGTCAATCTTGCTCTTAAGAGCAAATGGTACCCTCCTAGGCTTAACCCTGATGGGCTGTACCGTTGGATCCAACTTAAGTGAAACAGGAGGTCCCGTGTAGGACCCAAGTTTAGAGCTGAACACATCTGCAAACTCCTTGCATACATCATCAAGGGTCTGTGTTTGCAATTTATTCAGTCCAGTTACCTGAATTCCCAAGGCCTCAAACCAATCGAGTCCAATGAGACTCGTTCGTTCACCCCCTACAACCAACACGTCTAGGGGGCCTGCAAAATTCTTGTACTGTACACTAAGGGTGGCCTCCCCCTTAACGCACACTTTAGAATTTTGGAAATCCGTGAGGATTACATTAGAGGGCCTTAGGGAAACTTTCTGGCCACTGCTGCTGCAGATTTTGTGAAATGTATTGAGGGAAATTATGGATAGGGCAGACCCTGTGTCAAGTTCCATTGATAATGGAATTCCCTGCAATTTCACTTTAAGTGTTAATTTCTTTTTAAGGGGTTTGTGTGTGCCTATTCTTAAAATGTTCCGGCGTGTAGCACAGAACCCCACCCTGTTTTGGCTGGGCACCCTGGTACCTTTCAAATTCAATTCTTCCTTCGGTTGTACCTTCTGTTGACCCAGGCAGACCGCAGCGATGTGGCCCTTCTTCCCGCACGCTCGGCAAATGGCGGAACGGAACCGGCATTCAGCTCGCTTGTGGCGTCCACCGCATCCAAGGCAACGAAGCTCAGCTGGGCCCTTGTCCTGACGATCCTTGGACTTTCTTCCAGCAGCTTGGTAAAGCTTATCCACCTCTTCTTCAGGATCTTCGTCNATCCCACCTTCGTCGCCAGTGTTAAGTCCTGGGAATAATGGCGCTTGAGACGGAACATCTCCAACAAGTCTTTATTGTTTGCTCCATTCTACGAACAACCAGAGCAGAGGCACGCAGGCCTCTATTTATACCCTCTGATCCCCGGGCAAGTTCAACCAATCATGAGGCGGGCTTTTCCCGCCTTGCGCATGCGCACAAGGCCGGCGCCGCTCAGTCTGGTCCCGGGCAGCTTCTGCAAGTGCCCGGGACTCTTGCAACGTCCCGAGCCTGCATCTTGCAGGCTCGGGACACAACAGTAATGATAAGGGAAAAAGTCACATTTGACAGACAATGCAGTTTTGAACCAGTCTAATGAATGAACTGCAACTTGGCTAATGTCCCTGCTTTTTCAAGTTTGCAATGTAGTTTGCCAATTTTTTTAAAAAATCTATCAGAGAAAACTTGTAGAAAATAGGATTTATTAAGAAGCAGTGTACAAAACAGATTGAAGAAAATGAATTGCCAAGCCTAGCCATGTTTATCAAAATTCCAAAGAAAAGAAAAATATGTTCGGAGAAATGTACATCAAACACATATGCATTTTATTATGACCATGGTCAGAACTGCTCAAAATGGTAGGGAATTGCCTGGTTGAATTGAACAATGGAAAAAAGCAAAGGGGAAAAATAACATACCTGCAGGTGACAGAATTGTATAACGAGATTACTAAAAAATAAAAATATTGACACCTGCATTCATCCTTTACTCACTATGCATCATCCTATATTAATGTCAAGTGCAAAGGATCAGGACCATCCATTTAAATTGCAGCATAGAAGATGTAAAAAAGATGTTGAGACTCTAGAAAGAGTACAGAGAAGAGCAACTAAGCTGATTTGGGGACTGGAGGCTAAAACATGTGAGGAACAGTTGCTGAAATCTAGTTTAATGAAGAGAAGGACGAGGGGGGACATGATAGCAGTGTTCTCAGGGGCTGCCACAAAAAAGAGGGAGTCAAGCTATTCTCCAAGGCGCCTGAAGGCAGGACAACAAGCAACGGATGGAAACTAATCAAGGAGAGAAGCAACCTAGAACTAAGGAGAACTTTTCTGACAGAACAATTAATCAGTGGAACAACCTGCCTCCAGAAGTTGTGAATGCTCCAACACTGGAGGTTTTTAAGAAGAAACTGGACAGCCATTTGTCCGAAATGGTATAGGGTTTCCTGCCTGAGCAGGGGGTTGGACTAGATGACCTCCAAGGTCCCTTATTATTATTGTTGTTGATCATTGCACAGTCAGCCAGATGTTCAGACTGGATTTGGCATTTTTGTCTATCTATCGAGTCCTTACCAAGGATCTGGGATACGCAGATGTGGATGTTTGATGGTATTACAGATATCGTAGCAGAATGGAGGCGGTTCCTAGTAAGGCGGCCTTTTGCAATTGACTAATGGCGAATTTGTCAGTGATTATTATTATTATTATTATTATTATTATTATTATTATTATTATTATTATTATTATTATTATTATTATTATTATTATTATTATTATTATTATTATTTCCCAAGAATCCAGTCAGCCAAAGTTCAGCATCACATTGGTGCAAGACAAGGGTCAACGGAATTCAGAAGGGGATGAATTTGGACCACCTGTGGGAACCTAATGACTCTGAGTTGATGATGCACATAACTCCAACCACCCCCACCCCACCCCACTCACCCATTCTGCCTGTTGTCCTCCCACAATTAACGACATAACTGGTTTTGTAGAAAGAGAATTTAATTCCTTTTCCCCTGCTGTTGTTGTTGGGGGGGGAGGGGAATTGGCAATACAGCTTCTTATTATTTTGAGGCATGAGCTTGGGGATTTTCAGCATCTGCCACAGGTGGTGTTTTCTTTCTGTTGGCAGATCCTGCAGTCTACTTGAGGCTGCTCTGGGTCCAGTGGTGGGATTCAAATACGTGAACGACCGGTTCTCTGTGTGGATGCCGTTTCCGGAAGTCCATTCTGGGCCTGGGCAACAAAAAATTAGCTACCGGTTCTGCCGAAGTGCGAACCGGCTGAATCCCACCACTGTCTGGGTCGCATAAGGGTTCATTTGTAAAGTGGCTTCAAAGAATGCTCTTCCTCAGCCTCCCAAACCTATGAGGAATCCTGCCCCATTCTCACATGATTTCCAGAGGCTCCACATGGAGCATAGTCCTCTTGCATGACCTCTAAGGTCCCCCCAAATCTTGTGAGAATGGGGCATTCTTTCGAGAATAGTTGTTGTTGGATGTTGATGAACCTTGGCATGTCACCCAAAACAATATAGTGTGTCACCTTTGATACATGTGTCATAGGCTTGCTATCACTGTGGTGGCCTATGGATGTATTGCCATACTGTTTGCCTCATTCATCTGCCTACTGCACTTTTCCAGGAACTTCAGTTCTTGACTTCCTAAGGTCGTCTGCCTTTGCATTAGATCCATGCAATCAAAGAAGAATTCTACTGTGTATTCATGAATGGCAAAATTCAGTATTTCCCCCATCAAATATTCTTTGTATATTAGGAATATCTCATTAAGGAAGGAAATTTGAGCAGAGGAGCTGTTGAGATGATTGGTGACTTCCTGAATGAAGAATCTGGATTTCATTACTCATTCCTCCATTCTGTTATAGATCATTTTGTCTTTTCGAATAACAGGTAAACGAGATGGTGGTGGTGGTGGTGGTGGTGGTGAAACCAAAGGCTACTTTTTAAAATAGTTTATTTCTTGTATTTTTTTCATTTAGTGCATTTCTTGTTATTTATTTTGATTATTAAATTTTATCTCTAACTTTTTTTAGGTTATAAATTATATTTGCTATCTTCTTGGCAACTATGACAGTTACAATATTACTGAACTGAAAAAGAAATTAACTAATCTTCAATCTCAAGCAGACGGGCTAAAATAATTGATATTGGACTGCAATAGAATAGAATAGAATAGAATAGAATAGAATAGAATAGAATAGAATAGAAGCTTGAAGCGACCTTGGAGGTCTTCTAGTCCAGCCCCCCTCTCAAGCAGGAGAACCTATACGATTTCAGACAAGTGACTCTCTAGCTCTAGTCTCTTCTTAAAAACCTCCAGTGATGGAGTGCCCATGATTTCTGAAGGCAAGCTGTTCCACTGGTTAATTGTCCTCACTGTTAGGAAGTTTCTCCTTAATTCCAGGTTGCTTCTCTCTTTGATCAGTTTCCAACCATTGTTTCTCGTTCTTCCCTCTGGTGCTTTGGAGAATAATTTGACCCCCTCTTCTTTGTGGCAGCCCCTCAAATACTGGAATACTGCTATCATGTCACCCCTGTGTCTTCTTTTCTTTACACTAACCAAACCCAAGTCCTGCAGCCCTTCTTCGTATGTTTTCCTCTCCAGGCCTTTGATCATTTTAGTTGTTCTTCTCTGAACTTTTTCCAAAGTCTCAACATCTTTTTTATAGTATGGTAACCAAAACTGGTTGCAATATTCCAGGTGTGGTCTTACTAGAATTTTATAAAATGGTACTAATACTTTGCATGGCTTTGATTCTATGCCTTTGTTTATACAACCCAGGATTGTATTAGCTTTTTTGGCTGCTCCTGCACACTGCTGGCTCATAGTCAAGTGATCATTTACTAGGACTCCAAGGTCCCTCTCACAGTTACTATTTTTAAGCCAGGTCTTACCTAATCTGCACTTATACCATTGATTTTTCCTGCCTAAATGTAAAACTTTGCTTTTCTCCACATTAAAATTCATTTTGTTGGATAGGGTCCATTGTTCAAGTCTGTCAAGATCTTTTTGGATTCTGAGCTTGTCTTCTGGGGTGTTGACTATTCCTGCCAGCTTAGTGTCATCTGCAAATTTGATGAGTTCCCCATCTATTCCCTCATCTTAGTCATTTATGAAGATATTGAAGAATATTGGGCCTAAGACGGAGCTTGGTGGTAACCCACTGCTTGCTTCTCTCCATGTGGATGTAGTACCATTGAGGAATACTCGTTGAGTATGATTTGTCAGCCAGCTAGAATTCCATCTGATGGTGATGTTGTCTATCCCACCTTTTTCTAGCTTACTAAGCAACAGGTTATGGTCTACTTTGTCAAATGCCTTACTGCAATCTAAGTATACTATGTCCATAGCATTTCTTTGGTCTACTAATTTAGTCACTTTATCAAAGAATGAAATAAGAACAAGGCACACTTTTTCGAGATAACTTAGAAATAACTTGTATTTGTTTTTTTCCTTCTCTCAAACTCAGTTTTGATGAAATTGTTGATGGATTTGATCAACTTCCTCAAAGTTTCTTCCAGGAAATGGTTAGAACTGTCCATTTCAATTGCACTGTGGAGAAGATACTTCGCACAAACAACAAAGTGAGAGTCTTCTACAAATGGTTGACGGGCTCTGCATCTCTGGTTGCTGATTATGTCCTCATCACAGCTACAGCAAAAGCCACACAACTCATCAAATTTGCGCCACCTCTTTCCATTCCCAAGACCCGGGCACTGCGGTCTTTGATGTATGCAAGTTCTACTAAAATTGCCTTGGTTTGCACTGAGAAGTTTTGGGAGAAGGATGGGATCCGAGGAGGGAGATCAATCACAGATCTCCCATCGCGAGTGATTTACTATCCAAATCATGACTTCCCTCATGGAATAGGTGTCCTTCTGGCATCCTATACTTGGCATTCTGACTCTGATTTCTATACTGCACTCAGTGATGAAAAGTGTGCTGATGTGGTGATGGATGACCTTGTGGAAATCCATCAAGTATCTAAAAATTATCTCAAATCGGTTTGTGGCAAATACGTGGTGCAAAAATGGACCCTTGACCAATATTCTAGGGGAGCATTCAGCACGTACGCCCCATATCAGTTTGCCCATTATTCTGAGATATTGGCCCAGAATGAAGGGAGGATCTATTTTGCTGGTGAACACACGAGTCAGCCACAGGCTTGGATTGACACTTCCATGAAAACTGCCATAAAGGCAGCAGTCAATATCCACAATGCATAAAAGAATAATTTATTGTGGAAGAATTAATCAAATTAATACATTTTCATTAAATTCATTCATTACTATGTCTAACCATCAACTACATTAATCAATGAAAAAATATTTTTTAGTCTATAAAAACCTATATTTCTTCTCACATTTAACTTAAGCTTAGTGAACTCCATTTATTTAGAGACATTATAATCAAATCAATATCTTTCTAAAACCAATTCATTCACTAATATAACATTTCATCCAAATCATATAATTAAAGATAGACTAACATTCTCTATCTATTTATATTATTATAGACTCATTAAAACCTAATCAATAAAAGTTTACAAATTCATTATCCATCCCAAAGATCCTGTATCATGCTTTCTTAATTTTTACAAATATTTAATCTTAAGCTAACATATTCATTTACTATTCAGGTACCTCAAGTGTTTTTTTATTTAAACATTATTAACTCCAAAAATAAATTCTTCTCTTTCTCACCAATCTTCTATTGTTTTTCATTATTTCTCCAAATCTCCAATAATCAATTCCATCATTTCCCATATTTCAGTTCTTTTCTCATTATACCATCTCTAATATTAAAAACATATAAAGCCCTTTTAACAAAGTCCAAGTCCAAATCAATCCAGATTGCTATAAGGCCATTACCACATTACTATAATCAGATTTAATATTTATATCTTATTCTGGGTTTCTGTCTAGTCCAAACAGGTTTCCATAATCGGGCCTCCGCCTGCCACACTATACACTCCCCCCCCAAAAGCTCCCATTGTGCATTTTATTGAATTAATATAAAAGTTATAGTTAGTCTGAATGGCTCGTGGCAGAACATCATTTCCCCTTTCTTTTAACATTGAATAAATTTCACTTAAAGTCTCTTCTTTTATATTGTCCTCTTTGATCACATGTTTCTCTTCTTCCCATATGTTTTCCTCTATCTCAAGTTCAAATGGCATTTGTAGATCAACTTTTTGAAGCGAGATCATCTAGTTCCTTATCATAAGTCCTTTGTCCATTAATGTCAAATCTTTTTTCCAAAATCAATTGATTATCCAACTGTGAGTTTACTTCTTTCACCTCAGTAAGCAAGGTACAAGCCTCTTGTGTATAAACTGATGTTTCACTTAGTCCTTGTCTTTTGTCTTGTCGATACCAAGAAATCTCCTTTGAGCAAGCAATTATATCATCCGTATTTTCCAAACTTTTGGCCAAAATATACTTATAAAGATCTACACCGGTTTCCTCCATCTTTATTATCTTTCAAGTCCTTTTCCTTTTAGAGGAGACTATATTTAAAGAGCGATCACAATACCCATCTCCTCCCAATTTCCTCGCCTTTTTCCTTTGTACAAAATGAAAGCCTTTCAGCGAAGAAAAGATAGCAAGTACAATGAATAAATTTGTCAAAAAGTGTCCCCCAGAAAGTAATCAGATGTTCAATCCTTCCAGATACCATAGAGGTAAAAGCAAACAATATTCTCCAAATATTATAAAAAACTTTCTTGAGGCTTCCAATATCCAAAAATAAAATCAGCCATTAAAGCAAAAATAAATTTAATCCTTTGTGCTTCTCTTCCCCCATTTAAAAAGCCGCTTCACCAGAAAAGGGAATAATTCCAAAAGGAAAAAAAAACTTTTCACAGGCATAAAGAAAATAGAGGTAAAAGAAAAGTCTCACCAAGTTCTCCACAGTGGGTCCGTTTGCTTAGCTGATCTTGTGGCTTGCGGTTGGCGCAGCTAAATGATCGGCCATTTTACTGGCCGATCTTTACCCTGTCGACCCAAAGGAGATACTCGGTGCACAGAGGACGCCGCCGCTCCTCTGCAACTACTGAGAAGCCTCCTCAATGGTAGACACTCCTCCAGAACATCTTTTTGACCCTCTAAGGGGTCTATCGGCAGGGGAAACTCGATCGGCAAAGGGACGACTCCCTTTGTTCGACCACACCGCTGCGAACCGGCACCGGAAGCCAGTGATCCCCATATTCTTGGATTATAATTAAAATGATTTTGTTGTTTCTAACCCATAATGCTTTCTAATTTCTAAATAAAATATTTTAAAACACAATGGTGTTGTTTATACTGTTTCTTTATATTTATTTTTCTGATTATGGTCTTGCTATATAAAGACAGATGTACTGCCTCAGCAGACTAGGCAAAGCAAGGCAGTTTTGCAGATCATGGTCTGAACGCAACAGCCAATGCTATCTGGCATCCATAATTACATAATATTCTGAATTTTAAATAAACTATCTCAACATACTATTCCTTCTAATATTATGGGTCATAAATGCAAATTAGAGAGGTGAATGGGGAAAAAATTCAATAGGGACTATATGAGCGATTCTCTATCCCCATTAATTCACAGGAATGGGTAACTTATCTGATCTAAAGAAACCATTACTTACAGTCAACTCTTATTTGCAAATGGTAGGTTTAAGAACTTCACATTTCCTCCAACCTTACACATCAGAAAAATGTGGTCTCTTCCCATTTTGTATCCCCACATTGGTGCTACTATGGTACAAATGAAGAACTGAAATGTGTAACTCGGGTAGGATCCAACCTATACCATGGGACAGCTCTTGCCACTTGCAGAAAAAGAAACAATAGTTCAATAAAGTTTCCTCTGGATATCAGAGTTGGTTACAGAAAATCAAAACCTGGCAAAGGAGAGTCAGAACTGGTCAGCTCCGCTTGGCAGACCAGAACAGACAATCAATTCCATGGGAAGACCAGAAGTGTACTGTGTTGAGATCAGATGTCATAATTTGTGTCTTATAAGTCTGGTTGTGTTGTATCTCCCCTTCTTATAATACTCCATTGAATCACTTACCTGAGTCGCTTCTGAATATTACAGGTTTCCTTGGTCTTAAATAATGTTTCAACCCCCTTTGCCTTTGTAATGGTTCTTGTCTATTTCTGTCAAGGTCACTTCCCTCTCCTTTAAGCATGGAGAGCAAATCAAAAGGCAACCCCAGAGAATCAGCTGGAAGGCACCCAGCTAATCCTCAATAAGAAAGACTAGAAAAGTAAAATATGCCAAGGCATGCTTGGTTTTCTATGTCAATTCCAGCCCCCAGTTTACTTGAAACTGAAGATCTTTTCAACTTCTTCCTGCCAAGAAGGATCCAGTGGGCAAGCTGAGTTGGCAAAGACAATTTAAGAAAAGATGGTCAATCTTTTTAATCTGGGGGCAGGTTTGGACCTTTGACAACAACCGATGGGTACATTCACAAAATGTCTGTTATGGGAAGGGATAAAGATAAAGGTTTCTCTTTTCAGTCTTGTCCCACTCTAGGGTGTGGTACTCATCTCCATTTCTTAGCCAAGGGAGTCAGTGTTGTACGAAGACACTTTCTGTGTCATGTGACCAGCACATGGAACGCTATTACCTTCCCACCAAAGTGGTACCTATTAATCTACTCACATTTGCATGCTTTCAAACTGCTAGTTGGGCAGGAGCTGGGGCAAAGAATGGGAACTCACCCCATTAAGCGGCACTCACGTCTCAAACCCAGACTGTGAGCTTTCCAGCTGACAAGCTCAGTGTCTTTAACCACTGAGCCATTGCACACACACCCCTTATGGGAAGGGATAGACTACCCTGAAACATTACTTTAGACACTCCCATGTTGGTGGAGCATTTGTGGAGGCCACAATATTGCTGCAAAGAAATACAGTGCTACCAGCTGTTCGCTCTGTAGCATTTTAGACACTTGTTTAATTTTTTTCAACACAATCTAAAAGTGAAGTGAGACAAGGAGGCTGCTGGGTCCCAAGGGAGGTATTTGGGAGTAGTCTGGTATTCCCTAGTATCACACTGTCCTTCCCAAGGTTGAAGATGTATTAATGTTACTAACAGAAGACCATATGCCCCTCAACAATTCAGATGTCAATGCTGCTAACATCAGATGTTTTTGCATTGACAACAAATGGAGATATAGCCATCTTTTACCTTTTGCTTTTACAGTTAGATGATGCTGGGAGGGGGGATGCGAATGAGAGTCCAGCTAAACATAACAACACTAGACCTAGCATGAGAAACAGAGTATTGTAACCAGAGCTGATAAGGAATTGGCGGCCTGGAGAACTGGAGAGCAGGCCCATGCTTTAAGCTAGTTGGGAAATGTGATTTATGACTGTTAATTGAAGGAGGGAACTGTGCTTTGATACTATGTGCTCACAGGAGGGGAATTCAGTTTTTGGCTTCAATTATGCAGTGCCAAAGTTATGCTACTCAAAATAAAGATTCTTTAAGGTAAACAATGCCTCAAAGTTTTTTTGAAGAGTTTTATTTGTCAGAACCATGACATCAATCATATTTCCTCTGTCAACTTGCTTGTTGCACTGGCTGATTTGATAGAATTTATGGGGCCACCTTTGGAGAGCAGAGCCATGACAGTATCCTTACACAGACATTACAAAGCACATTTAAGCAATATATAGGGATTTTAAAATATCAAGCAGTTTGACAGCTTGAATAATTTTAATTTTAGGAAACCACACACTCTCATATTTTCCAGAAAGCAAGATAGGAACATTTTTGCTTTATAAGAGCTTAAGATTCCATGGCCTTTGGGCTGAGATAGAATCATCTAAATGATCTTCCATGACTCAGAGTGTTGGTGAAATGTAAAATTATGTATTGTATGGAGACTTTTGTCTCTCATTTTTTAAATATGGACGGAATAATATAAGACAAATGAAAGGTGTCCCAACTTCGTATAGTTTAGCATATACTATAATTTCAGTATGAATTCCACTATCACAAGATGCAATAGCCCAGTGATGGCGAACCTTTTAGAGACCGAGTGCCCAAACTGCAACCCAAAACCCATTTATTTATCGCCGGGTGTCGAGTGGGCGTGGCTGACTGAGTGGGCATGGCCACGGTGGGTGTGACCACCTCGATTATGCTTGTGAGGAGGGACGCCTGTGGGGGCCGGGCAGGGTTGGGGGAGATCCAGGGGGTTTCTGGTGGGTGGGCCAATGGGCCAGAG